GATGTGAGGTCACTGCTGGCCACATTAGGATGAGGTTTAATCTGACAGTTGTTGTGTGTGTCGCGAGAGTCCTGTTCAGGGTTAGCAGAATAGCTGCACCTGTTCTGGGGCAGCCCTCAGCTCGTAGGCTGTGAGAGCTGTTGAACGTGTTTAGTGAGGGAGTGTGTTTTTTTTTTTTCTCTCATGGCTGCTGTGAAGGCAGCTGTCAGCACTGTAAGTGCTAGTTTGAGCATGCTGCAGTGTGACTGAACTGCATTATTGCTTTAATCTGGGGGTGAGACCAAGTTCATTTCAAGTTCACTTAAAAAGCAAACTTCAAAAGGCATTCTGATTGCCCCCAACCTCCCACGGTCTCTCACCCTGCCACTGTTCTGGCATGCTTAGTTTCAGGAGGCCGTTCCTTTCTAAATGAGAACCTTTTTCACAAAAGCCAACCTTATTCTATCTGGGTTAAAGGTTATTCAGCCATTGTTTAGTTAATCACCAGGGTAATTTCACCCGATTAAGCTGAGCAGCTAAGTGAGCTTGTTGTGAAATCGCACCCCTGCGTCAGATAGGATTTTAGACTAGAAGGTTGTCAGGTTTAGCATAATAGAGACCTGTGATGACTCCTGAGTGAACTTATTTGACTGTGATTTCGTGCGACTGGTTATTTGTAACATGACACATTCCACTTGCAGCGGCAAACCCACCTCGTCACAGCTGTGGTAACTTGGTTTGCTAGATGATGGTCTGCTATTGCAGCATGTCCAGGCAATGTCTTATATTGAGGCAGTAGGCTAACTAAACAGCTTGCTGCACTAGACTAGCAAACTCAGCAAAGCTATATCTTGGGAGGTTGAAGATGATTTGCATTTTCGTACTTAATTCCTGGGAAGTGTTGCTGAGAAAGGACTTTTACATGTATCCTTGGTGACTAGTGATGAATGCTAAATGTTGGATTTGCATTCATTTAATCCGATTATGCTGTTTGATGCTCTGTCATCCTGCTAATTTTGTATATTTGCAGCTAACAGACTGCTCCGCTGCGTATGCCATTCCCCACCCCACATACTCCTTTTGCAGGGCTGAATAAAGTACAATACATCTATTTTTACCCAATTACAAATGTATTCTTGGTAAAATACTGCTTAAGCAAAAGTATAAGCATTTTAAGTAAAAATACAAAAGTGCTTTGAATGTAATTAAGAATCAAAAATGTAAATACTGAATTATTTTGATGAACAGCTTCTATAACATTTTTCAACAGGTTTTTCATGTTTGCAGTCACCTTAATAATTAATATGAAACTAATAATATTATACATGATCCATAATGATTCAAATAGTCAAATAGGACTATATGCTCTCTTTGTAATAAAACATGCAGTTGTGCAGTGTTCAAGTACTGATGATATCCACGGTAAGCTCAGAGAAACATATTGTGATGTAATCATTTATCATTAATGCTAGATATTGTCATATTGCCCAGTCCTAACTCAAAATACTTTTTTACTTTTGTTATTTCAGTGCATTTAAACAAGTACTTGTACTCAAGTAGACTTGTATGTTTACTCGAGAACAGAAGTATTATTCGTGATCCACCCTTGTCCTTTTGTCACATTATAGCTCATTGTACAACCTAACAGTAGCACAATATAGTCACATGATGAGAATCCTGTCATTGTTAGGGTGCACTGTTGGAAGACTTAAAATGCCTTATGCTTGCATGACACTGAATGGTGGGGTGGGCTAAGGAAACACCTTGAGAAAGCAGTCAGTCTCACGGTGGGGTTGGTTACAATGTGCCAGTACTGTTGGTGCATCCTTGAAAATGTCTTAAAAACTTACTGCTATTATGAATGAATTGCCATGCTCATTATCAATACTAGTGTAAAGGAAGTTGATGAGGCACAAGCTAAATGCTTCTTTTGATTTTGTTAGAATAAAATGGTCTTATGTAGTCTAACCATACTTGCTAATATTATATAGGGATGAATTATATCAGAATCAGCAGATAACTGCTTTGAAAATGTTCTCTGCATCAGACAGATGTTTAGGCTTGACCCACAGATCAAACTCCTATACAAAGATATATTTACTGTACTCTGGAAGAGCAGATGGTTTGGGTGATGCTGGGCTACCGTGCTGAAATATTTGTATTGTATTTATTTTTACTGTATTTGAAAGTCCACTGAAATCCTTGTTATTTTGCTGTAATGCTAATCCATGTGGATTTATTCCCAACTTTTATAAATGTATCAGCAAATATATACATGAAAAATATTGAATATCGGTCTCAGCCCTCAGTTTCCATATTGATGCATCCCTAATATTAAACGTTGTTTTAAAGTTTGATAAATAGCATGTTGGTTTGGCCTATCCTGTTTATTGGGTTGCAACAACAACTAGTGTGTGAAACTCGGGTTAATGTTTTTCCTTGTAACTGTACGTTCTACTCACAGTGACTCACAATGTCAAGTGACCAACTAAAGGAAGCCAAATTGTTTCTTTAATCAGCTAGCAGTTAAGTGCTATTCTCCTGATACTTTACCCCGTCTGTCCAGTGTCTGAATCGAGAGGCCGTGTGACATTTCTGTTTACTCCATAATTTGTCGTCATCTACCTTCCCAGCTCTGCTCCGGCCTCATACTCGCAGCTGCCTGCCAGATGCCTCGAGCGTGTGGTTAAAACCTGTCCATGATAATGTCCCCATTTCAGCACAGTGGTGCTTCATTTAACGCATGTCCATCCTAAAAAAGTAGTTTTATGACGTAGGCAGCAACTCATTATGTGTTGTGTCTGCTCCTGCTGATTTTATAAAGGTTGACAAATATGATAGAATTATCAGGACTCTCCACCCCCTTCTCAGGTGACTATGACTGAGCAGTCCTTGAGCCCTACCTTCGATACACAGTAATGATAAAGATTTTTGTCCAAGTGGGCAAAGGGGCAGAAATTAAGCAGTTCACACTCTGGGGTGAGCAGAGTCCAGGGAAGCCCGCATTAGAATGAGTATTAAAATGTGTTCTTGATGGTGAAGACAAAAGCTGCCAGTGTTCCTTCAGTCCCTGCAAATCCACACCGTGTCCTCTGCATTTCAATCAGCTCCCCACTCATGGGAGCAGACGCTGTGACCAGCTGCAGGAGCCCCAGCCCCCAGGCACCAAAATAAACCTGCGGGAACAACACAACAGCATGGTGTCACTTCCATGTGACGCGATCTCCCACTCAGACATGCTCCTCAACCGCAGCACTTCTCAGAAGTGGAAAATCCTCACATGGCACGACTGTTGGCGTTCCTTGCCCTTTTGAGCATAAATGCCGTTTTCAGTTTCAGAACTAAAACCTCATCCGCATTTCTGCAAGAGACTCATTTCCTTTTTTTGTCCACTGGTCCACTGCCATGTAGCTGTAGTGGACGGGAACGTTTAAACCTGTGCACAAAGAGTGTGCAAATTAACATGTTTCTTACTTTCTAAAGGTTGGACAGCCATTGAAAACGATATTGTTTTGCATTCACAAACTCGCCACCCACTGCTTGGTTTTTCTCTCCCTCAGTTAGGCCATCACTGGAGAGGCATGACCCATTTAAATGGTTGTTTACTTGTATTAGAAAAAGGGCCAAGACGCTCCTCAATGAACTCTTGTCTACAATTCAATTACGACTTGGCCCCTCCAGCAGTCCAGTATTTTTAAACACTGTTTGTTAGACTCAGTCCCCTCCATGCCTTCCTCTGTGGCATTATACACAGAACTGTGCTGCATTGTGTAATGACTCAAATAATAAGTATATTGTCACTTTCAGAATAAAACCTTGTCTTTCAAAAATGGCACCTTTTTTCAGGAGAAGAAAAAAAGCATTCTTAACTTTTAATGTCATGAGTCTTTTTTTTTTCCCCTCCCAAGTAATGCTTGTTGACTTCTATTGGTCTGTTAGTCATAACATTTTCATGCTATGTAAAGAGCAGCTGACATTTTCAAATGACTGGGGGGAAAAAATGAAATACAAGAGAGAGCAATGATAGATTCTTTTGTAGCACAGGCCCTCTCTAGTGTTGGTTAGGTTGGCACGACAATGGCAAAATAGCACAGGACAATGGATAAAGACTTCACTGGCCATAGTGGTGAACTCAGCCTCCCTGTATTACGAGGTTTTGTCATCCTCTGCTGCCACTGACCCTGTCTGGGAGCCAGACAGAATATTGCTGCTTGTGGCTTTCCCTGAAAACAACACAGCTGCATATTATATATTTTTAAAGCCAGACATTTTGTTATTGCTTTTCCTGTTATCTTCTGCCTAGACAAGCTTAAAAAAGGAAATGGCTCTCTCTCTCTCTCTCTCTCTCTCTCTCTCTCTCTCTCTCTCTCTCTCTCTCTCTCTCTCTCTCTCTCTCTCTCTCTCTCTCTCTCTCTCTCTCTCTCTCTCACAGCCCCTTGCCCCACCCCTTATTTCCCTTTTAAAGGGGATTGTGGGAGCTGGCTGGCTGTGGTAAGTGGTAGTGATTTATGTCTGTGCTGCCTCATCATGTGCTGTAATGATTCAGTGAGAAGTACCCCAGATGCTATAGAGATGGTTTACCCTTAGCTGAAGTAGAATGGGTGCAGTGGGTTCAGGAGAATATTTCAGTGCCCTGTTTTGTGATGTATTTTTTCTTGTTTGTTTTGTTTTTTTTTATATTTTGCTTTGCTCCAAACATTAAATAATTGCAGATTCAAAAGCATCAAAGCTCTCCAAGTTGTAACTTTCAGTGACTTTACCCTAAGTTGGCTATATTGTCCGCCACTTGTATACCTATTCAGAATTCCTGTATGTGTGCCTCATGAGTAACATTAAGTTGTGGATAAAAACCTGAAGACTTTGCAGGCCACAACTGTTATGTAACATCTGCCTGACCCACATATGTTGGGAGTTCAGGTTCTGGTGGGTGCTGATAAGAAAGGAGCAACATCTCAAGGTTGCCTGCTGCTTTTTTTGCTAACTTTTGCTTTTTTTTGCTTTAATCTGTCTAATCTCCCCAGGTGGGCTGAACTAGCAACTGCTTTGACCCGGTTTCCTGGCAACTTCTGACCCAGAAACAAAAGCCTGAGCTGACTGGTTGGTGGAAGGGCTGAGGTGAAGGATCAGAACCTTGGCCGTTCCTTGTTTGGCCATTCCTCACTGCGTTTTTGTGGAGGGGGTGGAAAGCGAGGTGTCGTCCGAAGCGTCCATAGCATGGGGCAGAAGGTTCCGGGAGGCATAAAGACGGTGGACATGCGGGACCCTGCGTTTCGGCCCCTCAAGCTGGAGCTGCAGGCCCTGGACTACACCAAGCCCTCCCGGCTGGACATGCTGCTGGACATGCCCCCCGCCTCGGCCGACGTGCAGGTGCAACACTCGTGGAACAACGACGACCGCTCACTAAACATTTTTGTCAAAGAGGACAATAAGCTGATCTTCCACAGACACCCTGTAGCACAGAGTACGGATGCCATCCGGGGCCGCGTGGGCTACACGCGGGGACTGCACGTGTGGGAGATCAGCTGGGCTATGCGGCAGCGCGGCACACATGCCGTGGTCGGTGTGGCGACAGGGGAGGCGCCGTTGCACTCTGTAGGATACACTGCTCTGGTAGGAAATAACAACGAGTCCTGGGGCTGGGACCTGGGACGCAATAAACTCTATCACGACGGCAAGAATCAGCCCAGTAGAACGTATCCTGCCTTCCTGGAGCCGGACGAGACGTTTATCGTTCCCGACTCATTTCTGGTGGTCCTGGACATGGACGAGGGGACTCTAAGCTTCATAGTGGATGGACAGTATCTGGGGGTGGCTTTCCGGGGACTGAAAGGCAGGAAGCTGTACCCTGTAGTAAGTGCGGTGTGGGGACATTGTGAAATCAGAATCCGGTACATCAATGGACTCGATCGTAAGTACCAAAATTTTATTTAGCTGAAATTTTTTAGTCTAATTTGGGATTGGTCATTGTAAGACTTCATTATTTAGTTATACGGTCCCGGAGGCTCTGTGTCTATTTCTTTGCTCAAATATCCCAACTCATCATCTAATTGCAAGGTTTAGAAGGTGTATTTGAGCAGGCAGTGCAGCACACTGTGCTGGTCTCTGGCCCTCTAGGACCATAATTAAATACCCCTTAAGTAAAATGACAGCTAAAATGATAGCTGGTCCTGGTGCACTTCTACTTTGCAAATGTTGGCCAGTGGTCCTCAACTTGGTGGTTGCAAGTTAAGTTTGGGGACTCATGGTGTAGTTGTCAGATTAAAAACTGCATAAACATGTTATTGGTGATGGAGGTTATGAGAGTGACCGGTTAAAACGGAATAGCTGTATGAGTGAAGGTGTGTGTACATATTGAGTTATAGCATTAAAAGGCTCTAAATGGTATGACATTGTACATGAGCACAAACAGCTAACTGTACTACAGAATGTCCACATATGGAGTGTTTGCTTGTCAGAAGCGTTGCCTGAAGCAGAACTTCACTTACTTTGAGCAGGAACGTGTTTCTGCACATTTACATTATTCAGCTTATGAAGTGGACATATCGCTTACAGGTGCACTGATAGTAAATTTTTATAGCTAGTCTTTTATTTATATTTACTCTGTGTGGGCTAAATAAGCACATGAAACACCAGCACATTTTCAGCCCATTTTATTAGCCAAAACTGCAACATGAATAACATTTTAACAGGCCATACTGACATTTTTACATTTTTTTTAAACAAAAAAAAACAGTTGGCTGTTTTTAGAATCAGAACATAAAATGATTTGTGCATAATTATGCTATTAAACTTGAATGTTGTAGGTGTAGCAGTAGAATTTAAATGCAACGCAAGTGGCTCATGTTAATTATGTCATAAACTGCATCATAGATTGGCAAAAATAAAAACAGTAAATTGACTGGCCAAGTTTTGATTCAAATCAATGTGGTTGTGCACCACATTCTACAGACTACCTTGGTTGTGAAAGTGTCGGGTGTTTCGCTTAAACTTTAAGTGCCAAATAGTTTGGATGGGGAAATGTGAAGAAGACCACTTTAGTGTGTTGAGAGGGTAGGGATTGCAAAACCCAGCCTACGTTTTTTAGGGTACTGTGGCTCAGGAAGGTTAAGAACTACTATGTTAAAGAATAGAAAGCACACATGAACCAGGGGGAGAAACCACTGCAGTTCCAGATCAAAGCTTTGCTTGAGTAACTCTGAAACCTGTGTTGTGGTTTGTTAAACATTGACCTAGTGGTCACTGAGCTGTGGGTCTGTGGAGGCCTCTGTTCACCATTAATTGTGTCAAGGAAGATCCACTCACCTGTTAAAGATCATGACATCAACGTTTATCTCTCAAAAAGCTCCAGGAAGCTAACGATTAACTTAGCTGCTGTCGGCTTTCCATTTCATTCCATGTCCTGATTCCTCTGTGTGTGAGGAAATGATTCCACAGCTGATGTGGAGCTGTTCCATAAACATTCCCACTCACCCTTGCCGCCTTTATTCTTCAATTTTTATTAATATTTTTTTTGTTTGTTTGTTTTTTTTGGGTTCCTCTCCCGACGCCTGAAGCAGGGAAGTACTGCATGTACTTTTAATTGATGAGCTTTTTTTGTATTAAGATGTTATACCAGGTAGTGTGCTCTGAGATTTGGACTGTTGTTATGGAGATTTAACACTGCATTGTTCTATTGTGTTTATAATTTTAATTTTTATGTTGATGATTTGAAAAAATTCTCACTGAGGCTTATTAACAGCAATACATCTTTAACAAATACACCGCACAATGAAGTCATACCCAATCAGATCGTACAGATGATGTCATGAATCAAATCAAATCCCTATTACACATTCATTGCTCCAGAAATGGTCTTTGTGGAGCTGTTTTTAATTTACTCTAATAACATCTAACTGTAATTTTGTAAATCTTTGAAAATGATTCCACACCCAAGGTGCATTCAAGGGAGGGAAAAACCCTTTATTGCTCAATTCTGAGGTGGCAAGCTGAGTTTCCAGAGTGAAAAAATATTGGAGCGACTGGTGAGATGACGTACTTCTCATTTACAAGAACTCTGATAAAATGGCAATTTAGTGTAATAAGGGACTGTAAATGCATAACAGTGCTGATTTCTTGGTATCGTCAGAGACAGCAATCCTAACCTCAAATTCAAGTTCTAATGGCTGTAGAAATTGGAACCCATTATCGAAGCAGCATGCACTGATAGGTCTGCATCCAACAGCTTCTCTGCCACTGCAGAAGGACTCTGTAAGCACCCTATTGTTTGGAGCTTGTGAACGTAATTGAACAAATTAAAAAAAGCAAACAAAAAAATGTATTTCTAGGGGTGGAAATAGGGGGAAAAAAACACCAGTATTGACACATTTAAACTGCATGCAAAGTTATAAATGAAATGCTATGTTGAGAAAAAAAAAGTTAAATATTTTTATTATTGTTATGCCCAAGAAACTACTAAAAGTGGTAAAGGACCACCTCTCTAACACTCTTTAATAATGAACGTTTACGTCCATAGTCATGCATATTCTGCAAACACCCCGTTGCTTCCAGGTTCCAGACCCCTTTCCTTTTCCTTCACCATCACGGATTTATAAGTTAAACAATTATTGGTAAGTGTCGGACAGTGCTAAGGAAAGCAATGTAGTCAGTTATGCTAGTGTTAGCTTAGCAGGCTAATACCTTCAACACACCACAGAACATGTTAGGTTTGTATTAGTCTTTTTGTCACTCCAGCAGCCATTACTTGACTTCGCTCACTCCGATTTGAGTCTTTATCCTACAAACTTGCAGATGTCGAACCTGTGTTAGTGTGTAAAACAGTTTGTCTGCTTGGTAAGCTAATGATAGCCCCTGATGCTACAATGGACAGTATAATGGATCAGTATAGCTAATGGCTTAACACAAAAAAATCATATCCTCAGATTTGAGTCTTTATCCTCAAAAGCTGTGTTCAAAAAAGCCTCTGTGAGCCAAAATTAAACTTGTGTTGAGAAGCTGTTTTATTGGCCTGCTTGCTAAGCTAATGCCAGCCTCTGGTGCTAACAAGTTTCTGGCCAAGATGTCGTAGTCCTCTCAACACATTTTAGTATGTTAGAATATGTTTATTCTCATTTGTGCTGTACAAAATTAAGCTGCTATGTAGCACCCCCACAAAATGGATATACTGAGACAGCCTGAGTTCAATAGAAAAATGTGAACCCGGCTCTGTGGAAACACATTTGACGCAAATATGAATCTATGTAATTATAGTAAGCCATCCAAGAAGATAAAACCACGTTTGAGAGTGCAAGCAGGCTTTTAAATCATATTAAAGTTATAATTTGAAATTTCATATCCTGTTCTGCACGAAATACAGTTTAACAGCACAAACTATGCTCTCTTTGTAATGAAACGTGGTTGGTCAGAGCTCTAAGTACTGACAATATCCATGATATGTTAAAATGTCATTTCACAATAACTATGAATATCATGTTGCCCACCCTTACTTATTTATGTAACAGTCTTTACTCCCCTAAACCTCTCCCTCCTCCCTGTCTGCTGGATGGGGGGGGTGAAACGCCAAACAAAAGCTTGCAGATAATTGTTTTGTTTATAATAACATTTAAAATTTGGGTCATCCAAGACTGGATTATAATTGAATCTTTGTATTTCTGAATTTGTGTGTGCTGAATATTTTAACTGTTTTAGGCCACTTGGCAAGGTACACATTCACAGAAGAGGTATAAGAGGATTATGTTCTGTCAGCATTTAAAGCAGTGCCCTATGATGTTTGAATGATGTCATTGCTGTGTGGTCCACTAATAAGAGCAGACGGAGGAGTGAGTGTGATGCAGCTGCCTATGAGCAGTCTAGCCAGTGCATTTACCATAAACACCCTGTTTTCAAAGGAAACAGTCTCATGGTCACCAATTAAGTCCTGTCTAATCAAACCCATGTCAGTCATCCTGCTGTTGCCTCATGTGTACTCGGATGGAATATCTCTGAAAGGCCTCCCCTCAGGCGAGTGAGTGAGCTGACGTAGCGTAGCATTTAATGATGGCCTGACTTGCTTGTAATGCAACACATCAGTTCAGGATACAGGTGTTCCCATATTTGCTCTCTCCTGTGAGAGGAGTAAGCGGAGAGCCTGCAGCCAGTCCATTACTCAGCCTCCTGAGTCTCCGGCCTTGGCCCACTGTAGAGTCAGGCCTTGTGTTAGTGCATTTGTAATACATTTCCTCCAGCACAGATTCTATTGTAAGCTCATCAAGGACCACAGGCTGAATGTGCTTTTTCCCATACTGTTTCCTTCCCCAGAGTCCAGTTTTAAGGGTGTGCATAATATAAAGTAATCTCCACAGTAGAGCAGATGGTAATGAGCAAGATGAAGCAAAGATATTGTGATGACGGATCAAGACTAAAAGGCTTGCTGCAACTTAATGGAATCCATTCATTTTCAATGGGAAGCATTGATTCTATTGAACATGGTCATGTGGTATTTGGAGGGTCAGGCACATCAAATTTGAGGGATGTGGTGTGTTTTAAAAAGTTAAGTAGAGCAGAACTTTATGCAAATGTGTCAGGCCAATGCAACACATTTGGCCAGTCAGGAGGCAAGGGTGTTTGCATGCTGTGTGAAGCATTTGTTCTGCTTTTCAAACGTTCCTGTGTGCGACAAAAGCTCTTACATTTAAACGCAGCTGTTTTGCCTCAAATTCAAAATAAGTGGCGAGACAGTTGGTTGGATGTGGATATGCTGAAATGACTGATGAAAGTGATAGTGACATCTGCTTTGCAAATCGAAATATGTCCAGGTTTAACCTATCAGTCTTTTGGAAATACTAGTTTAATGATGCATACTGAGTTGACTTTTTGATTAGTAAAAACAATAAAAGCTTTAACTTCATAAATATTGACATAGCAAGAATAATGTCAATTGAACTTTGGTCTTATGCAGCCAGATTAATTTTGTGGGGGTCTGTCACCACGCTGGGAGTACATGTAGCATATCGCTGTTGTCGGAAGAAAACCTTGTATGTCCACAATGGTAACTTTACAGGAGAATGAAAAAACATACTTTACTTTTACTGTAAGTCAATGGAACCAGATGTTTTTCCAAGTGATTTTTGGGCCGTTTCTTTTAGTCCATTCATCATGAAATTTATACACAAAGTAAAGAGCAACAGGTGTTTTCAAATTGTCACAAACAATGTCAAAGATGGAGATGTGTCAAAATGTCTTGAGGCTCTCAAGAAACTGTGCATAAAGGAGCTCATCCTGACCCCAAGCCAAAAGTGTAATTTGTTTTTATTTGAAATAATAACTGAATATATGTTGTGTACTTAACACATGAAGTGTCGGACACCAAAAAACCCGCCTACTCGTGCTTGCTGATGACTTCTCTGTGTTGTTTTACTTATTGTAACGTCGTTCAGTACGGAACAAGTCATAAGTATTGTGCACTTATTGTGTAAACCATAGTTTAATGTTGTTCTCTCTATCTGTTGTCTCCACAGCTGAGCCGCTGCCTCTGATGGACCTGTGCAGACGCTCAGTGAGAGTAGCGTTGGGCCGGGAGCGACTAAGTGAAATTCATGGACTTCCCTTACCCGCCTCCCTCAAGAACTACCTGCTCTACCAATGATGATAGGAGTGCCTTTTCAGCAGTGCAAGGCAAAGCGCTCGTTCTCTCTGGGATAACTTTCTTTTTTCCTGACAAACCTGTTTTCTTAACTGCTTTTCTCCTCGCTTCGGATTTTGGTACAAGACTTGTTGCTAAAACGTTTTTACGAGTCACGCCAAGGACGCCTCTATCTCACGTTTGAAGTGTTTACGGTCACATTTTGGCGTCTGTCTGGTTACTTTTTAAAACCCTCATTTTGTGGCTTGCTTCAGTCATATACTGGAAACACAATGGGAGACGTACAGAACCTTGTGGCATGAGCTGGCCCAGAAAAGAACATGTCTGTCTGTATGGTTGGATGGAGATATGCAGTGAGTTTGGAACCTCAGCTGTTTGCCATGGCTGCCTGTAGTTTCCCCTGTTCACCATTCTTTAGTCTTTTTAACTTGAACTACATGGTGACACATTCGCCAGGTTTACCTTTTCAATGCTGGATGTGGAAACAGGTTGTCGCGGAGTTTATTATGGGTATAATTGGTGGCAGCTTGTCACCTTCAGTCTTGTATTAAACTTTGCTTTAATGAATGCAGAGTCCCTGGGTATGAATTATGGATCTTTTTTAAGTTAAGTTTTTAATCTCCTGCACATTCTTTCCCTCTTAGAATTTGTAGGATATATAGAGTAAAATGCGAGGTTTAAGACAGAGAGCTTTTTTAGCAGGATGCAAATATAAGTTGACTCATGAAGCAGACTGGGTGCGTGGCGATGGCTTTCCCCCCCTTGCTCTTGGCAGGTTAAATATAGCTTGGTGTTAGCTCACTGCAGGCCTGGCCGTCTGGCCTGGGGAAACAGGCTCTGACCTCAGTGTCTATAACGGGGTTGAGAAACTAGCACACACGGCATTAGGAACCACAGCTAGCGTGGCCTGCCTTCATCACTCCTAAAGACAGCAGGTCCTCTTCTAACTTAACACTGTAATATCTGAAGTGCCTGCTCATGTGAAAATGGTGCATTGTTTAGACAGAGCCACTATTTTAAATGAGTTGAACGATGGTATCACTGTGAAACTGTGTAGCATTCATGAATGATACTCATCGCAGCAGGCTGTCTTGGCTGTTGGTCTTTTTTTTATAATTTCCCTCTGATTCAGTTTCTGTGTAACTTTATTGTCCAACATCGGCTTTTGTTTTGTCTTTTGTTTTTTTTATTTTTTTTTATTTTTTTTTCCCCATTTTTTGATCAATGCTGTTTTCAACCTGTTCATGTCGAGGTAATATTGGGGAGGAGGGGCCGTGGCGTGAAGTGCGAATGCGGTGACACTACTGTACTGTGCCTTGTCTATGAACCAGCCATTGAATGACGCCTCTGGTGTCGATGGGCAAAAGTGATTTTTATACCAATCAGGAAACGTTCAAGTTTCTTCCCGCAGCCCATTCTGAGACTTAGTGCAGAGAAGGTAACATTGCTTAGGTGGTGTTTTGTGTTTTCCAGAGACTTATTTTCTCCCTCATAAGTCTTTTTAGATGTGCAAATGTAGTTCTTGTTTGGCATCCATTTAGCTGGGCCATGTTCAGCTTTCTGTTCTTGTATCCTTCCTGCCTGCAGACCATCATCCTCTTTGTATTCAGTGATGTAGATAATATTGATAACTATCTAATAAAGTTTATTATAAATGAACCTTTCTGTTCAAGTGGGTTTTTATGCTTCATTTGATAGCTGGTTTGGGTTTTATCAGTGTTTGTTTATGAAATAACCATCAAAAGAGGCTTTTAGGCAGAGGAATTATACACCAATCAACCACTCGTACCCATGCAATGCCCACTAACACATCACCACTACCCAAATAATACTTGCTCTGTGGTCCTGTGACAGAGACAGAGAAAGTAGAGCTGATAAAATGGACAATGAGAGTGGAAACATAGAATAACCCACTTTTTAAAAAAAAAAAAAAGTGTTTCAGTCCCACCACTGTACGTCTATGCTCAATCACATATCTACTCCCATGCCCAGGTTTGGGGTGTAACAGAATACAAGTATTGGAAATATTCAGAATTCAGAAATTAAGAAACTATATTCTAAGTTCCATTTTGTAAAGGCAGTATTCAGAATACAGTTACTTTTTTTTTGTGAGAATACTTTTAGAATACTGACCCACAATTTTTATTATTTATTTATTTTTATTTTACCATTTCTTTAACCAGGGTGATCACATCAAGATTTAACAACTCTTTTACAAGTGAGCCCTGGCCAGGAAGTCAGCACGCAACCCCAAAAAATAAAAAATAATAATAAAAACACTAACACCTTAACCAACAAAATCATATTTAAAAAAAACACAATTATAGAATTCATCAGTTATCTTAAAATCGGTCAAAGAGAAATTGCTCCAATTTCAAATGTTTCTGAAATTTAACAAAATAACTACCATCTGTAAAAGGAAAAAAAGCCATCAGTGCTTGTTTATGAACTATTTTACAATCCATGCACGGCATGTAGTGAACGCGTTAGAGGAATTCTAAAGAGGACCTCTGTTAACAGCGTCTTTACAAACTAAAGCCTGAGTAGACTGATAAATCAATGTGGTGTCCAGTTATTAATCTGTGTTACTGAGCTCTTTTGAGAGATGATGAATAATCTTTTCAGTAGTGGATGTGTTTGGAAGTGATAAATTTAGCATCTGTGTACTGTACTCCTGCTCAAGGGATTGTGGGAGCAACAGTGGTCAAAAGCAGGTGAGGACAAAAAAGTTAAGAATTCTTGGAAATTTGTTTCAATGCCAAGTGAATTTTTCATGAAGTGTATTTCAAGAAACAGTAACAGTGAGAAACGGTGTGATTTTAACAGATTTCTAATGTGCCTTTCCAGTATTTACAGTAAATGTGTTCTAAATATACACGGGTGATTCAAAAAGATTTATCCGATTTCAAAGCGCTGTATTTTTACAACCGTGAGGTGCCTGGGAACCAGTCGCATACCAATTGAAAGAGGGGGTCATAACAGTTTCTGACTTTCAGTATGGCTGTGAACCTCCAACATCTCAGAGCATTCGTCATTGGTACCAAGAGTTCCAAGAAAAGGTCACCAGCATCATCAGATCTCAGGCCATGTGACTTTTGTGGGGGTACGTTAAGGATTCTGCTTATGTGCCACCACTCCCATCAACACTGGGTGATCTCCGAAATCGCACTGAAAGAGCCGTGAGTACAGCGACACCCGACATGCTCAATTGAGTGTGGGATCAATTTGACTATGGCGTTGATGTTGTCCGTACAGCTGGAGGAGGTTCATACTGAGCACTTGTAAAATTAAATAATACATTTTATGCTCATTTAAACCATTTACAGTTCACTGCGTTGTTCTGTAATGATTTACAAGTGAAATAAATCATTTTGAAATCGGATGAATCTTTTTGAATCGCACTGTATTCTGAATACATTATGTATTGTAATGGAGTATGTTACTGAATCCATTTAGGACAGTGTATTCAGCATTCAGCCATCACTACTTTTTCAAAGCATTTTGCCCAAACCTGCTTTTGCATAGCAGTGTTACATTTACACATTATCTTGCTTGCACCAGTGTTCAAATTGCTCTCTGGCTGGTCTTTTCAAGACATGCCCAGATTCTGTCTCACATTAGACCGGCAAGATTACTCAACTTTAATGAAGTAAGCGAATGCCAACCCTTTTGCATGTTGTTGCATGATTTTTCTACATGAGTTTCAAGATTAAAAGGGCAAATGAACCTATTATTTCTCAATTACAGCTATTTTTCAAAAAGCTGTTTGTATTTTCTTATCTTTAACTATTTATGCATCAGTTAGACTACAAAAGACACAGCAAGTAAATTATAAATTGTCAGGGTGTTATTTGTGTTATGCAATGCCAGAACAAATGGTACGCTGGAACATGTATTTTAACCTATAATGTTCATCATGGAAAATATAAAGAACAAAGCAGAAACGTAGAATGGCAGACGTCATAAAACATAAATGACGCTTGCTTGACACCTCCAGTCTTTGTCATAACATGAGTTCCTGAAAACAGCTTATCTGAAACCCAACAGTTCCTTGAACACATGAAGGCCTACAGATCCCTTGAGATATCAAACAATACAGCACGAAGAGTCTGTTATATGCATTGAGGTAGAATATAGCTCCTGTATATTGCAATGGTGAACATACACACGTGAGTACAGCACAAACATGTGAGTGCAAAGCCCTACGCACACATACAGGCAAGTGTTTCAAAATAAAATACAGCTTAACAATATGACTGACCATTGAGCAATAACAGGCAACACAATGTGCACCAAGTATCACACCCATACAAACACAATCATGGGGAAAAATTAACATCTCTCCACATTTACACAGATAAAACCGCAGGACAGAAACAAATGAGCTCTCGGAGGACTTCAAAATGCACACAGTTTCATTGGAATAGCCACACTGTTGTTGGAGAAGAGGCAGGAGAGATGGACTATTCGGAGTTTGATTTTTTGATTTTTCACATAAACCATCGCAAGACTGGAACTATATTGTTATAATTAGTGGCACGATTAACAAAATAGGCTATCAGTATCTGCAGCTTCCCCAAACTGAACTGTTTTCAAGGGAGCTCAAGTCTTTGGGGTAGCTAAGCTCCCCCGGCTCCCCCATAATTCAAACACAGGCTTAAACGATGTGCAGAATCCAATCTCACAGCAAACAGTAAGACATCTTGGCTGTTTGTGGTCTCAAGTGAGAGGTTTGTTTTAGAGGAGGTTTATAAAATTAGATTTTTTGTTAAAAAGAATTTTTTCATTCAGCGTCAACTGAAAACGCAGAATGGAACATCGCTGAATCTCTGAGTCATCCTGCTGGTAAGTCCAAAATCTGAGTTTGTAACTATTTATGCCGCACTTCAGATTAATAGCTGTTTTAATAACAGACAGCACTTGTTCCTTTCCTACTGAATGTGTCTGAGGCCTTGTTCCTCTGGTGGAAAGAAGCTATCTTAACGCTGACACTTTGTACTTGAGCTGTCAGTGAACATTTCATTCACTCAGAAATACACAGTGGAAACTTTATCTCCAGACATAACAATCCGGAGGCCGAGTGTGAAGAGCAGGACAGCGCTGCTCATCCCGCGTCACCTCGTAACAACTGACTCTCCAGAGGGCTTGTTTTTTTTGCCTGATCTGATGCAATGGAGAGCTTGGGTGAGCTCATTACTGACTCTTAAGGCAAATGAAATGCTGCAGGTCATGGAGAAGAGTTTTCATATCGATGTTCCTGACGTCATCCAGGCTGCCCGGTTGCCATGGCAGTGTGTTTGCATACACAGAGCGTGCTGCTGCTTCAATATGAGGTCACTCATCTCAAGTATGCGGCTTGGCTGGAACACCGCACTGTTTGGGTGTCTGGAACAGCACATTCCTGCCTGCAGTATTCTCTCAGAGCACTGAAGGCCAGCACTTTCTGTACACACTTTGTAGAAGTACTGCTATGTAATTCGTTATAGAGATGGTACCGAACTGATGGCCTGTATCAGTACAGGGCCGATTTCAGCAGAAAATGCTGGATCGGATATCAGAGAGGAAAAAAGAAGGAATCCGATTCGTAACAAATGTAGCCTGAAATATCACAGAATTACGGAGCCCTGATGATGACATCCTGTGTAAATAAAAATAATCCATGGCCACGCCTTATTAACTCGTGGGAACGAGATCCTAATGTGTGGCCATGACTTAGTAAGGCGTGGGAACGAGATCACGGCTTACTAAGTCGTGGCCACGCATTAGGATCTCATTCCCACGCCTTAGTAAGTCGTGGCCGAAATACAGCATCCTAATGTTGCATTCTTAAAAAAGATAGTTCTTCAAGGGTCCTTTAGTAAAGGCCATGGTTCTATATAGAACCTTTAACACTCAAAAAAAACATTTGCATGCTTAAATGGTTCTTTCCAAAGCAGGTTCTTTTAGTATTACAAGCTTGACATTGTAACAATAGCAGAACCCTTTTGGTTCTATATAAAACCTACATATACAATACATTCACCATCAATCTAAGGAATGATTTCACCATGCAAAGAACCATTTAATTGCTTATGGTTCCATATAGCATCGAAAAGGGTTCTGCTATTGATATCATGCAATATTTAAGCATGCAAATATTTCTGTGAGTGTTAATGGTTCTATATAGAACCTTTTTGAAAATGTTTGTATATAGCACCAAAAAGGGTTCTTCTATAGTGACAAGCTTGACTTCATAACAATAGTAGAACCCAGTTTGGTGTTATATACAACCATTTACAAAAAAGTTCTGTTTAGAACCCTATACAACACATTCTTAATAAATCTGAAAAAACATTTCACCATGCAAAGAACCATTTAAGCATGAAGTTTTTTTTTTGAGTGGGTATGGTTCTAAACAATAGAACTCATTTTGAAGCTATACAGAACCATTTTTGAAAAGGTTCTACATAGAACCACATATAACACATTCTCCATCAGGCTGAAGAACCATTTAAGCATGCAAATGTTTTTTTGAGTGTTCATGGTTCTATATAGTATCTTTTTGAAAAGGGTTGCATATAGCACCAAAAGGGTTCTTCTATTGTGACAAGCTTGACATTGTAACAATAGTACAACCTGTTTTGGTGCTATATAGAACCATTTTCAAAAAGGTTCTAAAT